TGGTTCCAGGATAGATTGTAAAGTCCAGAAAGACTGAAAAAATATTTATGAATATGAGAAAGTGATCAGAAATTTGAAGGAAGAACTTGTAAATTCTACAAATCCTTAAATACTTAATGAATAAATACCAGGCAATAGCAAAACATCACCCTCTGTGAACCCCAAAATGTATGTCAGAAACCCTGTCTCCCATCATGGGAGTAGATAGTAGTAACAGTTTTCACTTACAAACTCAGTAGCTCATGTGTAAGGTAACATAAACTACAAAGGTGCCACATGGTTTTTTTGAAGATTAATAGCAGTAAATTCAAACTTCACAAGAGGGAAAACAAAGAAAAAGGATGGGAACTACAGATCTCTCAGGACAGACCAGAACGCTCAGATGCAAGCCAGCCAAGCCTTTGTGGCTCCACAGAGATAGGACTACAGACTAAATAAGGAACGGATGTTTTCTGGAATATGTAGGAAATGCCCATAGACCACAACAGATTCAGAATTAAATACACATGGGTTTGCGTCCACACAGATGCTACAGGTATACCTGTAATGTTACTGCACGCTTGGCAGGATGTGATAATTCTTGAACTTAAACTATGCAGCTGCACAGCAAAATAAAAAGGACCTCTCATTCCACTCCTGTACTTCAGATGGCTCCTCCCAGCAATTACTGAAAGCAGCTGCCCCAACTAGAAACCAGCTGGTTTCTGGAGATGGAAACAAGGCTTAAGTAGTATCCCTGTTTTTTCCCCCCCCTCCCCACTCCAGAAGACACACTTAGACCACGAACCACTAAGAAGCCAGAAATACCTGAGTATACAGAAACATAACTAGAGAAGCTTCAGGTGTATGAGTAATACAGCAAACAACTGCTTTTTTCAAAAAAGTTACTTAAGTAGTCAAAGCAGCAATTTGAAAAGACCCTTCCCAAAATCCCTTGGCTAGCAAATACAATTGGCCTGCTAAGGGTTTACCAACCCCATTACTGGAATCAAATCATGCTGGAACACTATTTTTCCCGTATCAAGAAAATAGTTAGAGCTAGATTCTAAATATGCGAAACACCTGCATTAAAGTTTGAGCAAGAAAGATTACATCTGCATTTCTACTCTTGCCTGCTGTTTTTATGCTTTATGGAAGAGCCACATTCCCTCCTCGCTCCAATGAATTGTTATGTGACAAGGAAGCAAACAACTATAAGTCACAGCAACATGGACTTTTATGTCCTTGCCATAATAAATGAGAAGATGCTTACAGCTGCTTTCTTCTCCAGCACACCAGTCACCTAGCTAGGGGAAACCATTAAGCAACGAGAGGTGTGATCCCATTCTAGCTTTCCACTTCGTTAAGTCATACATCATTTTTACGTAGGAGTCATTGGGCTATAAATCATGCGAGGCAGAACGAGAGCTAATTAAAGGGTCAGATAAGCATATGATTTTGCATCCTTGCATATCAGAGCGCTCTAAAATTGGCCATATTTTATATAAAACATTTCAAATATTAAAAGACATTTCAAGCAGATCGCTATTTTCTTCTAAGAGGTGGGTATTTCTATCTGAAAGGCATCTATATTTAGTTTCCTAGCACGGAAGCCCCACGAAACCCTGAGTCAGTCCTTATTAGTTTTTTTAATAACAGACTTAACTCTGCCCTGCACACGTGTTGCAGTGCAGTCTTGTATACTGTCTTTGAACTTAGGTTTTTTTCTAGCTAGAGCAAACTCTTCTGAAGACAGCAATTCACAACCTAAGAAATCTCTACATGCACTAAGGCAAAGCATTAATCAAATGCACCTAATCCTGCAGTTAAAGTTAAGTGTGAGCACTTCAGGCTACTTAGAGGATTCCTTTGCCAATAAGGTATGGCTCACTTGAGAAAAAACAATCTATTTCCTGATACCAGATTTCTCAGTCGATGCAATTATGTAGTAAAAGATCTTCTCTGAAGGGTTAGAGGTAAATCTGATGTAGACATGTTAACTGAAATATATATCTCTCTCTCACAACCCAGGAGGGCTTTTAAGTATGCATAATATTACTGTGACACCTAGAGCATCTGGTAGCAGGCGAGAAACCCGTGATACCAAGGCCATATAAAAATACAGCCTGAGGATGATCCTCTTAGCTCCAAGAGGTTTTTCTCTAGAGATATGGATATATGTTTTATTTTTATTTCTTCTTCACCTTCTTTTTAGTGACCTAATAATTGTAGCTACTAAAGTGTATCATCAAACACAAGAGAATTCATCTCAGAGTAATTATTAACTATATATGTTTTTAAATACGTGTATTCATCAGTCTCAATAATGTGTAACTACAAGGAATAGTCTAGTGCTCATGCAGCAGTCTTATACTTCATTTTCATAACTTTGGTTTCCCACCAAATACCTTAAAACACAGAAGAACAAATTTTTTCTGCTCTGAATGTATACACAGGTTTGACAACTAAGCTTTAAAAATAAAGAGCATCATTCTTTTATTCTGCTGAAGGGGGAAAAAAAAAAAAAAAGGTATGTGAAATTTTTCAAAAATACTTTATTTCAAGCTTGACTGACTGGAAAAAGGGCTCCAAAATATTTTTATTAAAAATGGGGCAGTATCCATATGAAGATTCAAATTTTACTTGGGTATCCCAGTATCCCTGTGAGTCGCCGGCCACTCCTGCAATTTGTAGAGCTAGGCTGCAATCAGGAAGGGGAACGTTGATCAGATACACAGCTAGGTCAAATACTAAGCTCACCAAGCCAAGCTGGGGTCAAGAAATTAGAAAAGCCAAGAAATACAACTACTACGGGGAAAGGTCAAGGACCAAAGCATTAAGCTGCCCGAGGGGACGACAAAGATGCGGTGTAGAGGATGATCAGGACTGCAAGGGCCAGGCAGGGCTGCCTGCATTCAGCCCACGAAGCCACAGTTCACTCTCCTGTGACCTTCAAACCTGAAGCATCCCAAGCAATCTCGAGGAAGTTTTTCATCTTCACACTATCCCACAGACTTTAAGAAGCATTTGGCAGTACTCCGATAAGTGAATTAAGTTCTGCCTCTGGCTTTTTGGAAAAATATAAAATACAAATCCTAGTAACAACCATTCTAGAGAGATTCCGACAATGCTTAAAAAAACACTAATGCCCATTTTTGAAAACTAGCCCATTCAGAAATGCAAGCTGAAATGATCCTTTTAAACAAAAAATCCTTTTGTAGCCCAAAGCCAGCTACTCCAACCTGATAAGTAATTTTAAAATATATCTGTTTTTTGCAACAAGTCATTGACATGAAAGGAATTTGAGGGTTCCTGTAAGATGGAAGAAGCAGCAGCAGTAGCAACATAACAATAAATGACAGGAATGGATTCCACAATATATAGTCAAAAATTCATAATCAAAACCACTCAAAACTTCGATGCAGCATCATACAAAATATGATTTCCAGCTCTGTAAATACAAAAGCCATTCCATACAAAACATCATGTTAATATTAAACACATTTATACAGCAGTAGTGTACAAAAGCAAATCTGCCAAGACCCCCATGCTCAGCATGAAACATGCTGTTGACTCCTAAATCCCCATGACAGTTCACATAGTTATCACAACCACATGGTAAAAGAAACCTCTGAGCAACTGTGTACAAGGCAGGAAGAGGCTGTGGTTCTGCACATAGAGATTACGAACCCCACACACTCTTGTCAACCACAGCCCTTCTGTGTCATGTCATCTGGGGTCTAATGCCAGCATGCGCTTTAAAAACAAAACAAAAAAAAAAAAACCACAACACAAAAAAAAAACCCAAATCAGATTAGTATAAATCTTTTCCTCTGAACAAGAAGAAAGTTGTCCTATCCTTGCTCAAGATCTAGACATCCACTTTAGAGATGGAAAATTCAAATCTTTTCTTACAAAGCTACAATACTGAAATTTGATCAATATTCTAATTTACAGTTACAAAAATGAAATGCTGGGGTTTCAACCCCCAGCCCCAAATGAAGGCTGACATATGGGTGATTCCCACAGCCCTTCACCAAGGGGGGTGAGTTTGCCTTCAGGCTTCCCCCCAGGGTGGTGCCGGCCTGGCAGGGAGAGCCATGGGGTAAAGGAGCCCCAGGGGTCCCGCGTTCAGTGAACAAAGGTCGGGCGTCCCATGGAGGGATAACAGCTGGGACCCCTGGCACAGGGGCAGTGTCTGTCTGTGAGGTGGGTGCCCTGTGCAGAGTTCCCTGTTGGGGAAGGACCTCCTGCCTCCCTGGGGCTGGGCTCCACTCAGTTCTGGCTGCTGTAAACACGGGCTGTGTAGAGATTCAGTGTGTGGCTTCCTTGGTCTTATGTGTTTGGCTTGTTGACTCTCCCGTCCCTTCTATGGCAGACTGCATTTCACCATTGATTCCACCCGTTGTTGGTCGTGTGGTGTCGTTGTTGGGGTCAGTGGGATTGATGTCGATTATGTATAATCTGACTGACTTGTTTGTGCCCCCAGCGCTCACCCATGTACTGACCCTTTTGTACCAAATACAATCTGGTTATTGGTTCATCTTTAAGCTGGCTGTGTCCTTTATGCTAGGCCTAAAAATTGGCAAAACAGAAACCCAAGTGAAAGGCTTCTGAAAGCTACAAGTAACACGTAAGAGAGGTAGGTCCATGGGGTTTCTTCAATAGCAGAGGTTTCTCCAGCTCTTTTAAACTGCAACAAGCTCCCACCAAGTTACATGCAGAAACACTAACACAAATTCACTGAAAGAGTTAAAAACAAGCATTACAGCATTCCCATTTTGTCTACCTCTCTCCTCCCCATCCTCTTTGAGTTACATGATAAATTACAATTATGAAGGGGACAACTGAGACACATCAAAGTTACAGTTAGCATAGGGCATTGCAACATAGTTGACAATATAACCAAATTATGAAGTTCACCACATAATCAAATTTTTACATTAGTTCTGTCAACATTTGTTATTACTGATCATCAGTGTAACTCTATTTGATGCTTGCTGAAGTTTGTAAAGCTCCGCTGTCTGGTTTCTTATGCTATTTTTGTAGCATTCCTGAGTTGGTGAGACTAACCCACATGCTGAGGAAAGACAGCAGAATTTGACTTGAAGTGTTTTCTCAAACCTGTTTGAAAGAAAAGTTTAAGAAAGCCAGTGTAGGTGGCTCTTGTCTAGCCTTTCAGGAATATCACTTGCTCTAGAGTATCTGTCACCTACCTGAAGTAAAGGACGAGTCCCAAGTACAGTGGATATAGTCTTACTCAAACCTAGATCCATAAAGCTACAGCAGTCTCAGATACTTCTAAAAGAAGAGTGATTTGTATCTCCAAGATTTATTTTATAGTTTTGCAGACAACAAATATTAATTTTAAGCAGTTTAGTACTACACAGAATAAGACAATAGCACCAAACATCCCTACCCATATGTTAGAGTACTTTATATTTTTCAATATTTTTCATATTACCTATGAGACTAGCAGTATTATAACTCCATTTTGGCTGCCCAAAACTGTCTATAACAAGGTTCTGCTGCTTCTGATGTCACCTGTCTAAAATAACATGCTGAAGTTCTCCAGACTGAGATCTGATGATATCTGAGCAAATCAGTGAAACACAAAGCCCGTCAAGCCTCTAATGTTGCTCCACATAGTACGAAGTTCATTTCTTTAATCATTCCAGAAGCTCCAGAAGCCAGGCTCTGGATCTAAACATTTGAAACGCACTTATAAACAATTCAAGATTTACCATAATTCCTCAGGACAGAATTTAGGAGATTGTATAGCTTGCTTTAAAAAAAAAAAAAAAAAGCTAATAGGCTCTTTAAATTACAAGATCATGTTTTTCCCTCTCCTCTCAGACTGGAGATGAATAAATACAGTCAACGTAAGTCATAAGAACGGCTACCTCCTGAAAAAAAACCCACCTCATTTGCTGTAGAAGTTGAAAGAAAAGCAGGAGACTGCAAGAGAAAAAGATTCTGTCAAGGTTATGGCACTTGAATGCTGCAGTGCAGAATCTGTCCGTATCCTGGGCTCTACCACAGAGTTGCTAGTAATGCTAGGCAAGTTGCTTAATTCGATCCTTCCACAATCACTAACTGGGCATGCCTTTTCTGGGAGCCTAACTTGATAACTGCGAGCTGCTGGATGCTCATGCTGTGAACACACACACTACATCATTCCAAGTGTTGACACACCAGTCCCCACGACTCAAACTGAGCATCTAACATTACTGAAGACCTCTCTCTGTGCCAAAGCTCCCCCACCGTGTCGGAAGAAAGCCATACATTTATGTCATGGAAGCGTTGCACAGATTTTTTTTATTTTTTTTCCCCTGATTGTGAAGCACACAGCTACTATAAGCTGAGCACCAGTGAAATGCCCACATTCTCAGAATTATGTTTGAGTGACAAGGCACACACCAAGAGAGTCAGGAAAAATCGTTTGTCAGTAAGCGTTATCTACCCTGTGTACAAAGGCTGGCGAAAGTCTCACCGAAAAAACCCAGAAATTACTCCTGTTTATACACACCAACAGGCTCAGTTAAGGTTGTATAGACAACACTTTCTGGTATTTCAATTTTCAAGTAGTTAACTTGGCAATTTTCAAGTTGTCTCAATTCTGTTCAATGTCTATAGTATGGGTATTCTTGTTCCTCTGATTAACAAGGGACCCAGTTAAGCATCAAACATGGTATTGACTAGGCACAGGCCCCACAAACTACCAAACATGCAGCTGTCTGGCATAGACTGCACCTGCACTGCAGATAACAGACTGCAGAAACGGACAAAGGCAGAATCTTTTTCTGTAAAGCTTTGACACTGATTTATAAGGGGTTTTCTTAATTAGTAACATGTATTAAATAATGTCATTTTAAGAGAAAGATGAAGTGCATCTAGGCACATTTGCAATTCCAAGTCAAAGATTCACCATACAATTATTAGCAGGTGGCCAAAGGACTTTTTTTTTTTTTTTTTTGTCATATGCAGTCATGCAAAGATAGAGACTAGATACTCCTCTGCTAGCTTGTATTAGCATTTCCATTATAAAATCCCATTAGGAGGTTCCTATCTATACCTTCTTTGGAAGTCTTGCTACACAGAGCAGAGTAAGAACTTTGAGAGTATTTACTTAATATCTTATCCTCACTCCTCTTCCCTGGGATACATCTTGATAATGAGTCTCTCTGCTCAAAAAAATTTTTCCCTAGCTTAGGAAAACAAGCTCGTTTTTAAAGCTTAAAATTATGACAGATAAAAATAAACACCGTAAGTATAAACCAAGTTACATAAAAATCACTTCCCATTTTGAAGCATACTCTACTAACGTTGCCTGTCACATCACTGATCCTTCAACTAATTAATCTTTGAAATTGCATCAAATTGTAATAGGGCTAAGGAGACCTGATAGTCTACTGTATTTAAATGGGATATACTGAGAAGTGTCAAATTAAAACTCAACAGTATGAGCTGTTAAACAAAATCTCCTACCATATGTTTAACTTGCTGGTACCTGCACAAGTATATACAGAGAGAACAACATGGCCTACAGCCATAACCACTTACGATATAAACTCATTAGATCTTAAAAGTTTAGTAATGCTGAGTAGTGTTAAAGATTCAGTAGGTGACATCCTCTGCTGGGAATCAGCACTACACCAGCCACCATTAAGTAACTCGATTATGAACCACTCTGCATGAGAAGACACTGGTTGTAGAATGGCAGCATTAGGGCTGCTATGATGCACCAAAAGCCTCATAAAACATAACAAAAAAAAAAAAAAAAAAGCTTTAACATCACAATTTAATTCAGTCTTCACCTCAGTTTACTTTGCTCTCCTTAACTCTACTGTTTCAGTGAGGTACAGAATTGTTCTTTGGTGCCTGTAGTAAGCAGTTACACAGTCTTCCTTTATTACACAAGACTTCAGGCTTTTAAGGATCGCCTTCCCTGTCACAAGTAATAGTGGGAACATCATCATATTATCACAGAGTGGACTAGCTTTGATGTTTGTTTGCAAGAGAAGACTTGGTGAGACATCTCTCGGTATGAATCAGTGAGCTGCAGGAGACAACATTACCCTACTTCACATGCAAGATGAATGGTTTGGTTGCAGGTGTGCCCCAAATCCTTTGTACCTTCAGCACTGGCATGTCTGCACCAAACAGTTTGCAACAGAAAGCCAAGAGTAATGAAATACTGTCCAGTACATTCCAGAATGATAGCATTTTACCAATACCACAACCCATCATCCTGTCACATAGCAAAATCATCAGGAAAAGGTCCAAACAACTGTGAATGAGGATGCATAATTATGCAGATTCTGCGACACAAGAAAGTGCGTTTCACCTATTTGCAAACTGAGATCTGTTTTATGCAGTCTCTGCATTCTAGGCAACTCACATTTTAAAACCTATGCAACACTTAAACAGAGAAGGCTACGTAATTGAAAAGAATTTCACTGTATAAAGTGAGGTGAGAAGGACTGTAGATGTCTAAAGCTTCTACATGTACTTATGTTTAGTTACCCCCCCACCACCAAACTCCTTATCATAGATGTTTAACACCAAAAAAGTTGTCAATAAACAAAGTGTTATTGTATGATTTCACTGAGGAATGAAGTATTAGCAATGTTTTCATAACAGCCTAACCTGCTCATATCCAAATGTTGATCAATAATATAAACAGCACAGTTTTAATGTGCCTAGATATGTATTAGCACCACCTGTCATTACAAGATCCATCTGGCAGTTTAACAGCAGCGAATTGGTAAGGTACCAATATTGATAAGCGGAGGACTGGAACTGCACTGATACAGTTAGATTGGTTTACAAGGCTTCTATTTTTACAAGCCTTGACAGCTCAGGTTCTCTAATGAATTTTTAACATGTCAATTAATATGTTTATAGAAAGCAATGTCAGCTTTAGCTAATGCATAAGAAAAATCACAGTTGCATGCACAACGTACAACACGCGTTAAGATTCTACACTTCACATTTGAGAAATTCGAAAGAATTATTGCAGATGATCTGATGAGAACACTCATCTAAAAAGGAAACATGATAAAATTGCAAAGTTAATGGGTATGATTCATCACTCTTGGAAATATTAGCTCAACTTCATGAAATGTGATGTATTTCAGGGCATAAAAAAAAAAAAAGAAAAAAGAAAGCTTTCTTCTTGGCTGTTGTGGTTTAACCACAGCCAGCAGCTAAGCACCACACGGCCACTCACTCACTCTTCCCCCCCTCAGTGCAATGGGGTGAAGAATCGGAAAAAAAGGAAAACTCATGGGTTGAAAGAATGGTGTAATAACTAAAACAAAATAATAACAATAATAATAAAATATAATAATAATATATAACAAAAAGAGAGATAAATGAAACCCAGGAGACGACAAGCGATGCACAGTGCAGTTGCTCACCACCCGCTGACCCATGCCCAAGCAGTGATCGGCCCCTCCCGGCCAACTCCCCCCAGTTTATACACTGTGCGAGGCGTTCCATGGTGTGGAACATCCCTTTGGCTACTTTGGGTCGGCCATCCTGGCCACAGTCCCTCCCAGCTTCTTGTGCACCTCCTCGCTGGCAGAGCACGGGAAACTGAAAAATGCTTAACTTAGGATAAACTCTACTTAGCAACAACTGAAACATCAATGTGTTATCAACATTACTCTCACACTAAATCCAAAGCAGGGCACTGTACCAGCTACTAGGAAGAAAATTAACTCTATCCCAGCCAAAACCAGGACATTAACAAATAGAGACCCTGGTCTCCTGTCATTAAAAGGCACATTATACCAAAACAAATTACCAAGTACTTTGTTATTTTTATCAACATACTGTTGATGCCATAAATTAAGTGATGCTTACTTAAGAATATATGCTTCCACTACATGTAACTGTATTAGAATATTAGCTACTGTTTTACAACACTTTCTCCAGTAAGGTACAATGATGTTAAATGTCAGCACTGTACAGGTACAATTTTCACTGTAATTCCCCAGTATGCCCTGTGCATTATGTAAAATCAAAACACAGATTAATTTTAGGAAAAACATTCTTAAAAATCCTTAGGACACAAATTTTCAAAATGCTTTAAATGTTTTCTGTTAAAAACATCGTCATTTGTCAAATAATGAAAACCATAAACTTCCTATAGTAAGACTATGCACACTCTGTAAAGTTGCAGTAAAAGGAGAAATTTTACCTTTGGAAAGGACCTGTACATTTCTCACCTGTGGGCAAAATAACAATAGAGAATTGCCCTTCAGTCAGCATTTGAATTGCATCTGTAAAGTTCAGTAAGCAGAGCATCTGGTTGGTAGGTGAAAATCTACCAACCTATGCAGCTAGAGTGATATTACAGTCACACAGGAGAGTGAAGTTCCTGTAATTCCTTCAGTTCTCTGTCCATTCATCAGCCTGAGAATAAAAGATGCAAGTGCAGTCTACAGATTTGGGTAAATTTCCCCTTTTTTAATTGAGATATCGCATTTAACATCTGTCTCTACCTTCATAGCATCAGAGGTAATCCAGGATCACATCACATAAAATATTCACATTTGCATCTTGGCGGGTGACATATATTAAGTACTACAATTTTCTGAATGAAATGCAAAAGTTACAGGACTAAAATATTTATCTGATACAAGCTGACATTAAAGGAATTTCAATGGTTTTAAAGCATATAACAAAGTGACATCAGAATTTCAGAAAGCAAGCTATTCAGACTGCAAAGTCATCTTTTCTTCCAATTAACTACAGATGACCTAGGCTTTGCAGCATATTTTGGTACACTAGGGAATCTTGCACTCCAGTTCCGTACTCTGTTACATCCCAACACAGCCTGATGGATGTTTCAGGATTCGAGACTACCACAGCTGTACCATATGTCCATTTTTAAAATAACACCAATGCCTTGTTTCATAAATTCTCAAACTCTTAGAGCAAATATTCTCAAACCACAGTCCCTTGTGATAACCTGAAGAGCAATGACTGAAATGACAGTTAAGCATCTGTTATGTTTTATGCAGCAACCCTCATTGCCATTTGAAATCCTGGGACTTGCAGAGCTAATTAACAAGCCTACGCTCCCCAAAAGATTATCTTCCACAAGGCTCTTCCTGCTTTTATACCGCCTTATCCCTGAGCGACTGTATTCAAGGAGGAAGATATCCTC